GGGAACTGATATCTATGAGTGTGAAATGTGGTGCAGCTTTACTGAATTTAAGGAGACTCAGGGGCCTTGGGCTCCACTGAGTGCCACTTTCGTAGCAACTGTGTACCGTTGATATACTCAAAGAATATTTGTAGGGCCAGTCAGGATGTTATTGGGCCTTTTTCATCATGTGTTTTTGTCCTGTGTTCTAGCAGACATGTGAAATGTCACGAGTCACTGCCTGAATACTGTTCGAATGGAAAGTGCAAAAGTGTTCAGATAAAATGTTATAAAGCATTTCAGAATGAATTGAAATTCATTAAAGCTCAACTAAAATAATTCCTCTGCACATATAATGAATGTGTTATTAAACATTATATTGATAGTTTCAATGTAATAAGATCGATAAGCTCAAGCAGATCAATTCCATAGAAACTACAGAGCTTCTCACACATGCACCTCCTCTGAAGAAAATACGGAGGATCCGCAAAGTCCAGTGCATGTCTGAAAGCAGCTCTACTGGTGATCACCACAGGGGGCAACAGACAAAATGTCAATGGAGCTTCAAGTCACGAGCAGACAGTGTATTGTAAGCACTGATTTTCAAGAGTTGGGATCACAACAGTATGCAAACAGATCTAAGTGACAGTACAGTCTGATTACTGTGCTGCAGCTGATATAACCTGCAAAGTGAAGTTACCACTGAACTGATAGCTCATTCTACAAGCAAACCCAGAGGACAACATAACCTCCTTGGTGAAGGTAATAATAATGTGTTAACATAACCTGTAGTTCTGTAAAAAACTTAAATAAAACAACCCAAATGAACTAACTAATTAACTTTAGCTAATGAGACAATGTCAACTAATTCCATTTTTCCTGTGACAACCAATAATGAGCAACAATTTACAGGAAGAAAGCTTTCAGCCTTCTTTAGAGAACCACTGCAGGAATTGTGGGAATGAACTCTTAATTTCATAATAACATTCAGATTCTGCATGGAGTTACAGTTGAGACAGTGATAAAAGCTTGGTGTTTCATTTAATTGGTTGCAAAGAGCCCTTCACTTCCACCATTAAAGATCTGAGCCTCAGGATACACAGAGCATCAGGCTGAATTACACAAAGTTAAACAGGGTCGCCATGTCTCCTCTACCACTCCAAGCACCAAAGAACTTATTTCATCATCATGTTTGCAGTTAAAAGGATTTGTTGAAACACTCTCACCCCACTTCTGGCCTTGTTTACTGAGTATTTTATGCTAATGAAGACACTCTCCTTCAGTTCACTTGTTTGCCAGGGATTCGAAACAAGAACTGGCAGTATGTGACAGCTAACATGCCGGATTTTTCATCTCGTACGAGGCTGGGAAAGGTTTGATTCTATTTATAACACAAGAGAAGCAAACAAGAGCTGTATTTTGAGACTCTACACGTCAGGTTCTGTAACAGTGGAAAAGCCAGACAGTTAAACTCTGTCAGGGAACTGCAGAGTAGTGACGTCTGCAACCACCGAGACCCTGCAAACGAAATGTTATGAACGAAAATACTGCAATATCTGCACACGGCCCCCCCCGGCAATAACAGTGATTCATTAACTTGTATATTTTAGGGCAATACGCGTTAGCTTTGATGGTGAACAACTGGAAGAAGGGCGGGAAATTCTTTGAACCCAGGTCCAGTGGACAGCGAGACAGGTCAGGGAGGGTACAATGATTGATATGACTAAAGTTAACCTGAAGTTCACCTTAACTAAGCAATTCAGCGTGTGTCACTTTTTAAACCTTTACCTATTTATTGTTAACAGGTTTAATTTTGAAAGGATAAAATCTAAATTCTACCCATCAATTAGTATTTATCGGAGTATCTGTATATTACTATCTGTAATACAAACAGCCCTCATCAGGGACAGAGTCATCAGAGACATCATTGTCACTGTCACCACCACCAAACAAGAGACAATGTGGCTCTACAGACTCATGTCATGGCCAAGTGATTAGCCTTGGTCACAAAAACTCATCCCCCATTCTGAATTTAAATCTAAAATCTATACCCTACATATATCTGGAATATTTAAATACATATTCTGAACAATTATATAAATGCAGATGATGTCTCAAATTCAGTATGAGTCTTGGCAGCATATAAATGTCTCCAGCTTAGACACAGTGGTGCTTTGAGCTAAACGCTAATGTCTGCCAACATTCCTCCATTGACAATGCTGACGTGCTGATGTTGAGCAGCTTCAGTGTTTATCATGTTTACCATCTGAGGTTTTGCAATTCCACATGCTGGCATTTGATAATTAGTGTGAAACACAAAGTACAAACTGAAGCTGATGAGAATTACAATGATATTTACTTTTATAGGTATTTATTCATAAAACCTTTATAATGAAAAATGTAAAGAATTGATCCGATGATGTTGGAAGACGCACAGCTAAAAATAACAGCGAATAAACACAGCGCTTTAATTAAACCGTCTCAAACCCGCCTCCTGATACTGCACCCCTTGTCTCATTCCGTAGCTGCCACTGCCAATACTGCAAACACATCCTTATTTATATTTGCAATGCCCTCACAGCATGAAGATGTATGTTTAGCTGTAGCAGCTGTTAACAGCTGTAACAAGGTTCACAAATTCCCTTTAGCGTGAATAAAAATACTAATTGGAACTTCATTTTAATTCAATCTCATCTACAGTTGCAGTGGCCCAGTGGAAAACACCCTACACTGCTGTTAATGAGGAAAATGGGTGTGAAAAGCACTGGGAGTGGAGATTAAGATCTCAGTGTTTATGGGATTATTAGATCATTTGACGCCACAGCGTTAAATAAAAGTTTCTGTCAGTGCCACAGGGCAGGTCGTTTGTTTTGATCGCGTCGAGTGTTGTGAAGTGAATCCCCATCAATTGAGAAAGAGTTTGCCTCTTAACCAAACACTGCATGAACTCAGTCACACTGTTACACACAAACACCACAGGGACTTTGGTTATCTTCTTTTTCGATGGCCAAGTCTCACAAGTTTACACTTTGAGATTCTATAGACTCCTTTAATTTCCTTCAACCCCCTCCATCCTCTGCCACCTTCTACCGTCATGACTGAAAGCCAAAATTAAATCTTAATATGTTTTAAGTGCTTTTTGTCTACTTCTTGACATTTCTTTGATAAAGCCTTCAAGCTTCCTTGCAGTCGGCATATTAAAAACATCAGCCAAACAAGCCTGATTCATTGTGTCATGCTTTCACAACCAAACAGCACACAGCACATCCAGCAATCTGCAGCTATGTGAGTCTGGAGGCCAGGTCACAGACCAGCTCGGCTGCCGGAATGGAAATTCTCTATGTCTGGCAAAAAGAGAAAGTTGGCATAAAGCAGCACAAGATGTTTACTGATCTTGATGCATCAACGGAGAGCATTCAAACCTAAGGACATGCCTCAATGTGAGTTTTTCTTTTTCAATGACAGCATGAGCGGCTTTGCATTTCTCTATCTGTCTGCTCTCTCCGCCTAATACTTGTCACAAGCTGTAAGATATTCTATCAACTGCGGAGACTTACACACACACGCACATACACACCTAATCACAGTTCAAACATACTTCTAATTTCCTGACACACGTAACATTTGATATAGTTATCATTTTCAGCTGTTTAAATTGTAAATACTTAATGTCTTTCATGGTGCGGGAACGTGCTTATGTCCAGAATGTGTGTCCAGAACTAATGTGCCCACTGAAATGACAATCAACACCAACCAACACAGTGTATGAACTGTGCCAAATTCTGTGCCATGCTTCTCCAAGTGAACTGCATTGAGCTTGGACAAGGTTATAGAATACACTATGCATCCTAGTGTGGAGGCAAACACTGTAGGTTTAGCATTTTATACTGGACCATATATTGCTATACTCTACCATGCTGTGCTGTTAAATGTAGGTAAGAGCCTTTTGGTATCTCCAAGCAGTCGCCCTGAAGAGTCTTTTGTGTTTGTCTGTATGTGTTTTATCTACATGGTTATTTGTGATCACATTAACAAGGTCATGATTCAGACCTGCCATCTGACTTCTAAACAGCAATGTGCTCGGGAACATTGGCTGTTTAATTCCCTGCATTCGCTTGTGTTGAGCCGTGGAGAAACTTTGCTCTTCCACAGAGAGAACTTGAATAGGATTGTAAACAAGCAATTTGACGAAGATAAACCAGTAAACAGCATTCGACTGGACCTCCATCTCTGAGTCACAAATCTTTACAATTCTTGGTACAGTATGTCTACTGGACTACAGTCACAAATAGTTTCTAAGATGGTTTCATTTTGTAAGCCATTATTAACACCATTGATGTATAGATGTGTTTCAGTGACTCAGACCTATACTTTCCAAACACAAGCAGGACAAGATACAAAAAAATAACTATCTCCGAACTTAACCTCCATAGGCTGACAACAACAAGTGTGACTCTCCTGTCACAACAAAAAAAACAGTGCTTCAACTTCAATGTATCAGAATAATACAGTTGAGTAAAAAATAAATACTACAATCATTTTGCTGGTGATTTTCTGAGGGGGACAGTGAGGAATGAAATACTGCATGTGATAATCTTTTGTTCGGCAGAAAGCTAAAGCAGACTGGTAAAGCTCAGTATGAAATTAACTCAGTACATATTGTGAGCTGGCTCATACCCACATTTGGATGCCAAGTTTCAAGATCACTTTTTAGTCAAATTAAACCAAGAATGTAATTTCACTAACGATATGCATAGAGGAAACACAGTTATGTATACCAACTGTTTCACAACATTGCATCAGTGCATTCATCTTTGTACTTTTTAGCTACTTCTGCTTCAATCAGAGCTCAACTCCTAAATGATGAGATAAATAACTAGTAATAACTAGTGTATTCAATTTAAGATGAAAGGAGGAATTTTACCCAGAGAAAAATGAATCTTACTGTTTCCAACTTACAGGCCATTAAATAAACCATTCTTGATGATACGTTGTGGATATGCCGTTCATTTTCAACTCACCTGTAACCGTGCTGTGTGTCCACACACACTCCGCCGTTGAAGCAGGGGTTTCTGGGATATGCGGCGCAGGGCTGATGGGTCTGCTCTCTACCTGTGCAAGAGCACACAGCGGTGGATTCCACTGTCACAGATACAAGACTCATAGTCCCACAATCCACCACTGTGGGTGTGTCTCGCACATTCAAAGAGCTTGTGCAGCCGCCGGTCCCGGCACACTCCGAAGAGGGACACTCATCTGCCCGCACCTGGAACACGCTGACCTGCAGGAATGACTGGAGCTGCATGTAGAAAGACAGAGAAAAGGGTGAATCACAGGATGGCGTTTTAATACAACCTGAACTCCAGAGAAAAAAGGCGCTACAATATAGTCTGCACAAGCCTTTAAAAGACTCGTTTTGGCCACTGTGGATTAGTTTGTTTTTTTCTCAGGAATTTTCAACTATCAAAGCTAAATGTCTAAATATCTAAACATCAACCCTGACCTAAACTTCAAAATGGGTCAAAATGTGGTCAAAGAGTTGAGGGATAACAAACAGCTGGAAGAACCTATGATCTTCAGCTCTTTGCCATGTCACACCGGCTCAAAACTGATCTAGCCTGACAAAATTACTTTTAAGGTGTGATCGCTGATATTTATGTTTGCTTTTTCAAAATGTCTTCAATCATTGTTAAAAGCAGTATATAAATGATTCATATCTGTATTCTCATTTAAGTTAACTGAGTCCAATCCAGCTATAGCATGCTGTACACATTTCTGTGTGTACATTTACAATTCTGTCTTCAACCAACATATACACATAATGGGTGGTTAATCCTATCCTTGATCAAAACTGAATGGGGTTTTGTGATATTAGTGAACTAAAAGTAATAGTTTACCCAGCAATACTACCTTGTCTGTATGAGTGCATTTGCAAAAGGGATGAATGAAAATCCAGGTACTGACATGCAATCCAATATGTGACTCTTTTAACAAATTACCCTCATTGCTCCATAATGTCTGGCTAATCTAGTTTACACAGACCAATAAAAACATGTGCATGCACACAAACTGACAAACAACGATGATGTGGAAAGTGCAGGTTCAGTTAAGGAACGCATCACACTACAGTAGGCAGGTTAAGTAGAAATCAAGCTGTTTTTTTCTGCACCAGTTCCTGAAAAAGTGGGCTAAAGGGTGATGAGCTAAACGGAAACTATGCCTAAATCTAGGTTGAGCTGTTTGATAAAGCAATGGAAGGGAAAATGAAATGGAAATTGGATATGTGCCGAATGTGATGTGTGTGTGTGTGTGTGTGTGTGTGTTGGCGTGCTTGCATCTGAATGTGCTGGTAAGAGTGACACTGGTCAGGTAGCTTTCCACTGACTTTAAATACATATTTATGTACTCAAGCTGAGGAGGCATACCCAGGAGATTGCATGAATGCATCCACAGGCACGCACGCACGCACACAAACACACACACACAATGTGTAAGTGTTGAACCGAAACAGAGGTCACTTGATGCTCAATGTTCTGGACTGATTGGACCTCATTCAGTGTGACTGGATTGTGTTCACTAACCGTGCACTTCACATCTACTCCACTTGTTTCCCCCTGAAATGGCCTGTGCTGAAGAGGCTGTAACATTAATACAGGTTATGTTTTATCAGTGTGGCTGACTGATGTCTCACATCGTTTGAGCCGTACACTTGCCACAATGAGCAGTGGTCGTTTTCCCATTGAGAATCACTGGCTTTCATTTTACCCACATGTGACATTAATGCATCCTTTGATAGTCACAAATGCTCCTACTCATTTGTTTGTGAGTATATATGCAGCCTTTTGTAAATGAATTGAAACAAGGGGGGAGGTTGAATGGTTAATGATGAAGAGGGCCTGTTACTCATCATATATGTATATATCTATACACCCTCCTCCCTGTGCTTGCTGTGCCATTAAATGCTACAAGACTCCATTGTCCCACAACCCAGTGTGCTGGGTTGTGGGACAGTGGAGTGAGTGGAAAATGTGATTACAGTCAAGGTTGTTGTTACAGGAATGCCCATTAAGTGTCCTTTTATTAGATTGGCTGCTAGCTATCGGTCCACTCTAGAACGGTGTTAATGTATTGTGTCTCAAGTCTACTCACAGTACAACAAATCTGTCAGCCTTTAGAAAGCTCGGAAACTAACATACTCCACAAAGATGTCTAATCAAAGTATGTTATAAGGAGAATGTGCTGCTACAGGCTATTTCATTTAGGCAAGGAAAACAAAAATGTGGTTTCTGTATTTATGCAACAATGAATTGTGGCCTTTTATATGCCAATATTTTATATACTGTATTTTGTTATGCCAAATACATGCCAGGAAAAAAATTGTGAGTCTATTGTGGCGCATGTGTATCACATATGCATCACCATTTGCTGATATCTCCTTAATTAAACCAATATGGGAGGTGTAGTAAGCAGGATAAAGTCACTTTTTTCATCCTCTTCAGGAAATCTGTTAAATTATTAAAAAGAAAATCATGCTGATATTTCCCATTTTCATTTTGTATGTGAGGATGTGTGTTTTAACGTGCACATCTGGGGCTGTGTCCACAAAATGAGGAAGGAACAGAGACTAAAGTACATAAATATCTGGTGATAATGAGAATAGAATGATAGAATGGGCAGTGAAGTTGACGGGTCTAATCATAGAATTTAGTCTCTATTAAGAGCTGGAGTCAATAGCTTTTTATTATTATTATATAATATACAATAATCCCTTTTCAAATCAACTGTAAGCCTGCAAAGGCCAACATGAACAATAAGTAGCCAGTTCACATGCTGATGCTATTTTATTTTTTGATCAACAGTTTGATACTAAAGGAAAAACAGCTTGCATCAGTTTCTCTCTGAATGCCTGACAGAAAGTTGCGGTGTTGGTTGCCGTGCTGATTACATAAAACCGGCAAGCAAGCAAACATCAATGGAAGTGAGAAAAAGAACCAGAAAACCCAACTGGTAAGAGGAGCAAAGTTTATCATTAGCTCAATTAGTTGACGAGTGTTAAACTATTCTGAAAGGAGAATTTGCCTCTTGGTGTTTACCGCACAGGCCAAGAGGAAGAACTGATTAGGCCTAATTTCCTCTGGTTGTGCTACACCACTGAGAAGTGGGAAACACTGGGAGCTATGTGTTACTGCGAGTGAAGAGGAACACAAACAGGATTCCTCAGGCACAGGTGAGTGCCATATCACTTGCAAATGGCAGCACAAGTTATGACAATAACTTAAAAAAACATTATCTCCTCTGCTTCAGAATCTCTTAAGCCTCTTCAAAATCCTTCTTACTTCTCCCAACAGTTGTTCACCTTAGGAGCTTTCTTAAGGGCTGAGATGCTGTGTGGATAACCTTTATCTTTCTCAGGATCTAGATCGAACTGTGAGGGGGAATACTTAGAAAATGTTATTCAGGCTGTATGAATACGACCCCCTGGTGCGTGCTGTGTATTATTCAGCCGTTGTAAAGTCAGGAGGAACACTGCTAATGTGAAAACCAGCCGAGATGGCATGGCTGTTTACAGATTCAATGTAGCAGATAATAGAAGGTATAACCATGTTAAACAGGCTTGTGACAGGAAAACCTTGAAAAACAAGTGGAGAAACAGGATGACAATGCCTCCATCCACAAGTAACGAGGGCTCACTGAATGATTTAATGAAACGGAGAGAATAATAAGCTATGGCCTTCACAGTCAATAGAGCCCTCCACTACTCAAAATATACTCCACTACACTATTCAATAACAGATTAGGGGATATACAGTATTTGGTGCTTCATCCATCCAGTGAAGCTCCGAGACAGAGCTTTTCTGACAGCTTGCAGTGACCCAACACCTTGCTAGACCTGTACATTCAGTTGGGCTGGCAAAGGAACCTCTCCATCATGTGTCCATAGCACTGAGTATCATTAAGTTTTAAAGTAAGGTGTGAAAGTAGAACTGTTTCATTTCCATGAAACACAGGTTTAAAAATCAACAGTGACACCAATACTCTTCACAAGTACAACCTTAATGTTTTATACACATTGAGTTTGAGTCACTGTAACATTAAAAGAACTTCAAGGGGAAATACAGAGGCAGTGCATTTAACACACCTTGGTTATGGAACATGCTGAACTCACATTGACACGATGTAGAAGTTTCTTTGGATGTTTTTCTACTTTATTTAACCATGAAAAGTTGATTCATGAATAGCTGATGAAAAGCATTGGAATCAATAGTAACTAGTCAATTCAAAGAGAATATGACGAACTTGAGAACAATGTTTAGATTCTGACAATCACCTTAATTTAATCCTCTAAACACTGTGGTGGAGTGTGGCTCTGCAATATGAAGAACATTATCAAACTCATGTGTGTAAATTAAACCTGTGTGTTTGCATCAACAGGGTCTCTCCTTCAGTATTTTGCTGTCATCTTCTCAGCAAGGGATAATGCATCCTTTGAATCTTTGACATTAAAAACCAGCAAGACACAGTCAGGCAGTGAAGAGCAAAACAGGTGGGGGGGAGAAGGAAGGACGAAGATGAGGAAAAAGGGCGACCATGTTGGGGGGTGGGCATGATGCCACAGGGAGCACGGTCAGTATGGAGATATGTGAAGTCGGCATCATGCTGGCTGTCACACGGTTATAAACCATTTAGTGGCCAACAGAGATATTTATCTGAAATAACCATATTCAGTGTGCAGGTAAATTACTCCATTGGTCCCCATGTTGGAAGACTCCTATATGAAGACTTTTTTCAGGCCAGTGATCATTCCTTGTTAGCTTTGAAAGCCAGCAAAGCATTCAGAAAGACCAGGACACCAAGAACACATTATATTTCATTTTCTTTTTAAAATATTATTTTTAAATTGCTTTATATCCAAGAAAACACTTAATTCCACATGGAGTCTCTTAACCCTGGAATGGCTCAAAGGAAATCAGCATGGCACATATCTTTCAAATGTAGTGCTGGGGAAACGTAAGGCAAGGCATACACTGAGGCAGAACAGTGTGTATAGAAAGCAGGACCAGAGGGACGTATTGTTCCTTGGACTTTTGTTTCAGTATACTGAACAGATTCCACAGTCCTCTGCACTGCCCTCAGGGCCACATTAATATAATGACAAGATGAACCTTGGTATCTGAGCGCCATACCAATGATTTTTTAAAGTTGAAATCCAATGTGGTATCATTAAAAGTCAAGTGGAGCGTGCTGGATTGAAAACACAGAGGGATAAGTTCTATTATAGAGGTAAAGCTGTGAGTAATAGAGAGGCATAGGGAATAAAGATTTGTTTTAAATCTCCTACTTCTAAAGTATTACTGGAGAATTGAGAACATTAATAATAAGCGCTGCTCCATCTTCTGCACCCCCTACCCATCCACCGCCTCCGCCCCTTTCCTTCCCCGTCCACCAGCTACCCCCCGCTCTATTTCTCCAGCGCTCGCTCATCCTTTCCCTCGCCACGCTTCACATCTCATTCTGATCAATGTCTTCTCCGGAGAACCTGGCTGAATTCAGATGAAACGCTCGGCACTCTCCTCACAAATCACACCTGAAACCCTCGGCTACCTTTCCGCTTACACATCTTTCCTCTCTGCTTCTCTCTGTGGCCACACTTTGCTCATTTTGGAATAAAAGAGCTCATCTACGCTTGCCTGCTTTTCTCCTCATCTCAACTTTCTCTCCTTGATGATAGTCACATGAAACAAAGGAAAGACAGGACACCAGGAAGGGAACTAAAGAGAGAGACAGAGTGATGATCACAGTGACCTGGACTGAGCATCCTGAACATGACTGTTGTTTCTCCCCTAACAGACACATGCACATACAGATCAGCTCATCATTCCTTTTGAGGACAGAGGGCCAGCTCTCTCTCTCTTTTTGTCACTGCTGGTAAAATGCATACAATTTGACTTTCTCTCTCTCTCTCACACACACACACACACACATGAAATCACGCACGCTCTAGCTACATTCGCGCTCACACAGGTTCCGTACTTCCATTGAGACCTTTGAAACGTGAAATGAGGTCTGACTGAAGCCAGCGGCCAGTGTGCTTCAGTTTGATGAAGTGTAATGTTTGAGTTTCACCAACTTTCTCCTATATGGTGATTATTTGCTTTTTAATGTTCTGAAATTTTGCTAAGCTTGCCCTAATGAGTAGAATTTAATTTACTGAAACAATTTCCGACTAAATATGGGACGAGCTATGCAATTTTACAAACCCCTCTCATTTAAGAGAGCACAGTTCTGCAGGGATTTTTTGACAGCAACAGCCACTGTTACAGCCATAATCCGCACTGTGCATTTCTGCAAGAGTCAAATTGGGTTGGATTTAAAAGGATGTTCCACACTCATGGACTATGAATAAAGTACAAATTTTTTTTTCCTTGGGTTGACCCAGAAATAACTGTCCTGGACAATAGCCTGAATCAGGCCAAGATTCCCTGTGTCCTAAATAACAGAAATGGTTTTAGGTGGAGGATGATACATGGAGAGTAATATATCACTGACAACAAGAAGTGGTCACACATGTTTACCGCCGGTGGCCTACAAGCTGTATGAGATGGTCTTTTGGGAGAAAGGGATGGGGGTCGGGTGCACATGAATCAGTAAAGGATTCTGTGGATTCCCTCTCTGTATAAGAGTGCGTGGGATGAAGACAGAAAGAGCGTCTATCCAGAATTTGACTGATGAAAATGTTATATTGATTATATACATGATTTATGCTTGTTTTGTTGATTCAAGTGATCCACACAGATCTTCATCATCTACCCAAACACCCGGATTTCACACAAACTGACTCTGTGCATCTAGAGTGCATGCATGCTGTCACTTCATGTCACATAATGCTAAATTATCATTGGAAAAACTTTTAATAATTAAATTTGGAATTAAAATTGGGAACTTAATGTGTAAAGCACGTACTTTGGACTTCATCCGGAGGGCGTCCATAAGATCTGTGTGATCTATCCTCTGTATAATCCTCACTGTATCACAATCACTGGTCTTTTCTTTAACACAAGGTGGAGGGTAGGGAAAAGAAGGATATATATCGAGCCAGGCTGAACAGATCATGACACCAAACCATCTAAGATGATTATTTGTTGAAGTAATTATAATTTCATGCTCTATATTGGACAAGTCTGGATAATAGATAAAGAAAAAAAACTATTTTACACTAATAATCACGAGCACATTCCAAACCACTTGTGTGTCCTCATCATTTCAAACTTGATCTTTCGAAGAAGAAGTGACAGTCCTCTGGGCCTCATCATTATAGTGATACTATCCCTGATTCCACGAAATTACACGCACGCACACATTGGTATCAACTGTATGATGGATGAAGAGACTATTTGAACTGATGCTGGCTTAATTCCAGCTTCTTCCTCCCGGGCCCTTGGTTGGTAAAACAAAGATTGGACAGTTTCATTTAACCTGTGTGTGACATATGCCTGCTGCTCCTGTAATATAAGGTTGAAACAGACTGAAATATTGCTTCTTTATATTAGATAGTGTACAGTGACATGTTCTGCTGTTTTACTGTGTATTAAAGAAATACAACAGTGATTTATTTCCATCGGATCAACTGTGTAGGAACCACAGCCCTGTATTTACATGAGACCACAATTTCAAAGGATCCGAAAATAAGCGGACATAGGGTCACATGAAGTCACCAAACTTTTAGGTTTCAAATCACTGGCAGTGTGTGACTGAAGTTTACTTAAAGGTACAGTGTGTAGAATTTTATGATATCTAGTGTTGAAATTACATGTTGCAGCTGAACACCCCTCACCTCACCCTCTCCTTCCAAACATGAAAGAGAACCTGTGGTAGCTTCAGTTGTAATAAAAACTCAAATGGTGTTTAGTTTTTCCAGTCTGGACTAATGTAAAAAACATATATATAAAAATAAAGTATTTAAATATAAAGGGCTTTTCCTGAAAGAAAACAACAATTCATACAATTTAGATGAAACGAACTAGTGAAAACATCATGATGGTTATTCTACATTAAATTTCTGCCAATAGATCCATAGATTTTGCTTCTTTCTTCTTTCAGGGACTTTTGATCCTCGGAGAGTGAAAGACACGGCTGTTTGTACTGAGGTCATAGGAGTCAAGAATCTTCTGCATCTATGTTGCTATGCTGTCTTAAAATCAGAGGACTACACATAAAAAAGCTCATACCAAAAAGATCTATGAGCTCTGCACTACACTCAGTATTGATGTGATCATTCGTTGTTTCATTTTGCATTCCAATACGTAGGGGAAAAGCAAAAGCAATTAAAGACTTGCAGCTGTATTAACACTGACTGCACCACAGGTGTGATTACACCCTGAGGTGATTTACACCTGCTGTGCGTAGAGTGGTTCATTTAGACAGGTGAGAGAAGCCCCACCAGAATCTGCTGGAGAATAAACAGCTGCTTCCTGGCGAGGAGATTTGTTCACAGAATGCTTTCATACCCAGAGGGGGAATCACTCAGACTCAGTGCTGGCACTTGTTAAAAACAGCATAGTGGACATTTTGTACCTGCTTTTGATCTGCTTCAGGTATCGACACTCCACTGCCTCTTTTTCCTTATTCTTTACCTGTGTACCTCTGCCAGCGTCCAGTCTGCCAGTGTAGACTCCATGATTTATTTTCTGCTCAGAAATGACTACGAGGGTGCTGACGGCATGCTCAGTCAGGTAGTTAGCAGGTACAGCTATGTAGCTTTAAGTTGACAAATATAAATGACTAATAACCACCAGGCAGTCAATAGTAGTCAGAACCTCCCAGTTAAAAATTCATATTGCTTGGATTCATGGCTGTGAAGTTGCTCTTCCTGTCAGGTGAAGACTCATGTTTGCTCAAGCTGCTATGATTTAGAGCTGTAGATAGTCATTGTAACACGTGTCCATCAGATACTAGTTTTACTTTGTCAGTTTGTCATTGGGAGTAAGTTTAGCATCAGTAAACATAAAGACAGTTGTGAAAGAGATCTTATTTTTAACATTCAGTGTAATTCGAAGAAATCTGAGCAAAATGGCTCTATTTGTCTTTTTTCAGTTAACCTTTTAAAGACTGACTGGTTTGAAAATAAGCCCAAAATGGCCAGTGGTAAATTTGCAACAACAGCTCCTACTTTTAATTCGATTTTGATCTTTTTTTCTGAGCAGACACACATTACATTGCACTTGTTTGACAATACACTGAAACAGGGACGTGGCCTCGTTTGCAAAAGTTAATGTGCACACAGAAAGCTCCACCCGAATTCAATGAAATTGATAACTTTGAATGACATTGCTTCCAAAATACTTCCACATGAACAAACACTCCTATATTTGTATCCTTTGAACACATCAAAAATACGTAAAACTGTGGAAGTATTGAAAGAGCATCATATGTATGTTTCAAGCCCATGTTTTGTGTACACACTGGTTATAAAGTAGAACCCTGGGTGAATTTTTCAGGTATACAGGAATATACAATCACAACAGACCTGCAGCACACAAAAGTAACAAGTGTTATTAAAAACCTCAACAGTGGCTCTGTTTTATTCCCACTAGGCAGTGACAATGTGAGCAAGCATGCACAATACCAGCAAACTTAAGCAACTCAATGGAGTTTAGCACATTCATTTTTTTATTCACACATGCTTTCCCTACTGGGACTGGAGAAAATGTGCTTCTATTCAGCCCTAGGTTTATTTTAATCAGTGCTGTTGGTATGTGATATTTTGTGTTTAGACATTAATAACATAAATGATGCTGGTGCAGGTCGCCAAAATAATTTAATAAATATGTGAGAGCTTATCATGGTTTTTCATTTGTCTGTCACTGTTTGCATTTTAATGAGACATCAAATTTTGGATGATGATTGTTGGAATGTAACAAAGGCTACATCTGTTGCCATGGGCGGCTGTGGCTGAGGGGGCTGAGCGTTTATCTCGGCTGTTCGATCCCAGTCTTTCCCATCTGCATGCCGAAGAGTCCTTGTGCAAGAAGCTAAAACCCAAATGGCCCCTCATAGATGTTGAATGCATTCATTGGAAGATTTGGATAAAACTGCCAGCTAAATAGTATGTAATCCAAACATCACCATTGGCAGAACAGTTATAGCAATTCACTGTGTCTACCTTGCGTGTCGATATAGATAGAACGATAAAGGACACAAACAACAACCTACCTTTTGTTTGTGGGCAGCCAGATAACCGTGCATTTTCTCAGGCTGGAGGAAGGACGGGCCACCGTGCACAGCAAAGCGAACATCCAGCATTCGCTCCCTCACATCTATTAGGCTAAAGATGTTGACATCATCAGGTGGAACAGAGAGCATCTCAGACAGGAAGTCCACCAGCAGCTCGTAGCGGCTCCGCTGCTTCCCTCTCAGTTCAATGAACTCCTTTGCTGTGATGTCTGAGAAACACACACACATACACACACTATTGGAACTGTAGACTGTACAGGAGCGGCCTCATTATTCCCACATCTGATCAAGGATACATCCATTTAGCCCAAATGCTACATAAACTGGAGAGGATACATTATTGAATGTGGCTCACTTTATCTGATAAAGTCTTTTGTTTGAAAGATTACTTTGTGTTCTTCCTGAGTATGTGTGTGTGCATGTCCATGTGTGTGTCCTTGCAGGTGAACACAGCGATTTGCAGTTGGATTTCGATTCCTAACTGTGCCAGTTAAAGGTAATTACACTCCTGACAATCTGAGGTGCTGTGTCTAATCATGCTCTGTGGCAGGCGCTAGAGAGAGATGGAAAGACATATTGCTCACATTTTTTTCCCCTACAGCAGTCCAGCATGTCTGAGATGTATATTAGGGCCACATTTGATGGTTATATCCATATGAACAAGGTCACCATTAAGATCAACTTTCAGGTCAAGTTTCAAAACAGGTCTCATGTGTCATCAGGGCATTAGATGAGGCCCACACACATCAGTTAAAAGCTTTGCTCAGATTACGAGAATTCTAAGAAGACTGATTCAGTTCTACCCTCATAGAGACATGGGCTCCTGGTCAGGTGCTAAGTTGAGCTCTTTGTTACACACATACTCACACATGAGTATTATATGGACAACCATGATGATTACAAACTTACTAATAGAACTAAGGTCTGGACCTGGGTAGACAAGAGTCTACTTGAGACAGCAACAAAAAGCGTTACGAGTGAAATTCTGAAACGATCAGAATAAAGGAACCAAAGGTTTAAAGGATGTTCCAGAGGAATGGTTGGTTTAATTTTAGCCAAGGGAAATAACCCAGGAAAGTGAGAGCTGAAGTGTGTCTGCGCAGCTATCGAGAAGAAAGACGAGTGAGAGATGAGCCTGTGTGTCTAAATGAAAGATGTGATGCGTAGCTTCTGCAGGAATAATAATCTACATAACAGTGTGAATGGCATGATGCATTGGTATTTTCTAATCTACTAGCTTCACAGTGTTGATAATTTCAGAACATTATCAACCAAAACACACAAAACATAAAGTTTCTCAATCAGCTTCACAATTTGACTCGATTTAGCCTGATTTTAAAATGTGTCAAGGTTTTTAATCTCAAATGAAAGCCACACATGAGACAGACTAAAAGAAAGCTGAAGTGACAAAAATTGTCAGTGCACTTTTACAAACCATATGACTAATACAGAAGCAATTATTTTGTCATTGCTAATGAATTGCTAATGAATAAATTCCAAGTTTTATGGTTTTTCATCGAATTTTTGTTGAGCCATTTCACTCCAAACCTGATGATACATGGTCGGGAAAGAAAGAACTTCACAAAATCCTGTGCCAATCCTCCTTGTAGATGTAGAGATATTGCATAGAACACTGATGGTGCCAGGCAGAGCAGAACTGTCAGGGAAACGGCAAACTCTGTTTTCTTCATGCACCGTGGACGCATCGCAAGATTCAACACTTCATGGGCTTGTGGAAAATCAAGGACATCACCAAAACCAGGCATTCATCCTCTGTGCATGGATGTTCAATAGCAGTTGAGATATTACAGTCTTAATCAAAATGGTGGACCCATTGAGCGGGCGACATTGCCCCCCCCCCCACCACACTCATTCACTGGAGGACATTTGTTTTAAATGTTGAGTTGAGGGAGCCAGGCCAGGTAAAAATGATGGACATACATAGTCATTACATTCTGCTAGGAGAAAGTGATGAATACTATTCACTTGGAATACGGCCATATAATTTATGATGAAAGAGAGTGACAGATCAGATTCCCCTTATAGATTGCTTTTACTACTGACACACAGGAACATCAGAGTGATGCATAGTGTGAATACAACATGGTTCCCTCACAAGGAGAGGCTGCACTGGGGTTTAGTTACACAGTCACATTTGTACAGCACTCACTAAGTTGCAGCCAATACTCTTCAACACGGCAAGAGAAAAGAAAGTGTATGGGAGACAAGAGAGATGGAGGGAGCCTTTCATCCTTTATTCAGCTGTTTTTAATAATGTGCTTAACTTTGGTTTGTTGACAGTCCTGCCTGTTGTATACTGTGTTCTACAAGCGCATCAAATGCAGATTTTAAACCACAGCCAGTAATAATTTGTTCCAATGTCAAATATTTCTGACACCAGGACAGAGAGGCAGAGCAAGTGTCAAACCATGAGTGTGAAAACATTTTATGTTGCAGCACATGTCATTGTCATTGTGTACATTGGGCTTCATGCAACAACATGTTCTTATATCTACCCAAAATGTCTCAGGTTGAATGACCTGAGTACATATGATGAATGCCACCTGTATATGTATGTGTGAATGTGAATGTGCACAATATCTTTGAGCTATATTCATATTTCTTGCCGTAGCTCAACAGCATGTTTGTTTGCCTCTTCCACTAACACCTCCAATTCCATGGCATTCAATTTTGCTTTGCCCTTGCGGTCACTCTGCTCTCAGTAATGCTCTATGGCGGAAACCAGTAACGCATGCAAAACACTCATTTAAATACTGCTGCCTCTACCATGTTTGCACCTGTTATCATTTACGCAATTAGTTTAAGTAGATCACCCACAAAACGCCCACCAACCAAACGTGCAATCTGTTATAATGCACACGCAATTTAGCACTCTTTATTTGGGATCTTAGTAGATCAGGCCCTTAATGGTTAATTTGCATAATCAAATATAGAAATGAAATGAGGGAATGTTTGTGTACCCTTTAAGATGAGAATCAATTCCGAGGACAACCAGAAACTACACTTTGACCCAAATTCAACAAACTACGAGAACACAAACACACACTTCTATATGAAAAGGGGAAACCAGGGTGATAAGGTTTGTGAGTGTGTTCAGGGAGATAGTCCTGGCATTAAGAGACAAGACGGGGGCTCGGGAACAGGCTCTGTGGATACAGCGTGAGGGATCGAGGCTAATGTCAGCTCCCATCAGTCAGTCCAGCGGGAAAAACGAGGACACTGGCAGACAGAGAGACCTTCAGCAGGGATGGGGGGCTGGGGTTAGAGGGTAGTAACTCCTAACACATAGTGGCAGCCTTTGCACCTGGCTTTGATCCAACCTCACATTTCACCACTGCTTTCTCCTTCCCAGAGGCTTCATCAGAGTCGGGAGTCGAGACGGTACGGCACAGACGAGCACCTGCCTATAGGCTTGTGATTTCAAACAAATAGCACAAAAAAGGGCTATTTACCCTGCTCGTGTAGTGATGACAGGACTGACGGAAACCATTGAGACACATGACACAACAATCATGGTCTTTTTGTAACTTATCGTGCCTCTGCCTGAACATGACTGAAACACAGTGGGTGCATTTTGGACAACAACTCTGCTTTTACTTCTTTAGGTAGAGAAAAGAAAATTCAATTTCAAATATCTTAGTCCACCACGGCCAAACAAGCCTAGACATGACTATTTAATGACTTACATTAGAAAAAGGAGGGGGAAGAAATAGGGTCATTATTTGCACTAAATTATACAAACTTGTTACAATTAAGTCTGACTTTCTTACATCATGACCCTGACTCGGGTGAGACGGCAGTGTTCAGTGTAATCTCCTTTGAGCAAAACAACAACTGATTTTAATTGGCTGCTAAAAGTGAAATAAACTATTAACATGTGAGAAGAAAAATAATTAAAGCTCTTTATTATCAACCCTTAACACGAGTCAAAACTTCAGATCTTCTCAGGTCCTCAGATGATGTGATGCTTTTTTCAGGTTCATTGTAAACAGAAAATCTTTGGAATTGGTCAGACAAAATGAACAATTTAGGATGTCACATTGAGTTATGGAAAATTGCAACAGGCGTTTGTATTTTACACTTCTAGAAACAAAAAAAAGATTAATCAGTAAAGGGGTGTGCCGCTAACTTCATAGTGCACCTTCATGAAGTTTGAGATCTTAAACACAGAACTAACTGTAAAGCGCTTTGAGTGGTCTATAAATACAGGCTAATTACAATTTAACTATGGCAGCTAGTGCCGATTCAATTTCAAAATCACAGCATCCCACATTTCCCATGATGTATCCTCTCTATCCTGCAAATACCCAAATTATTCAAACCCCATACAGAGAAAACCTGCTGCCATCATCAGGCTACTTTATCAGCTCCTTCCCTAGTTTTCACAGGGGTGAGTAGAACTTCTCAACACCAATGAACTGGCTTTATGTGTACAATGAGTGGGTGATACCTTTGATTCTTAAGGAATATAATCCAGTGCTGAGAGTGGATGTGTCCCACATAAGTGGGCATCTACAGTGGCACTACCTCTGGGTATAGGAGTAATGTTGAATATCCCAGATCAGTAAGTAAGGAGAACAAAGTCAAAAGTTTCTCAAACATAACCCCTACAGTAGAAAACCAAAATATGTTTTTCCCCTTTATTTCTGTGTATTGATTCCAAAAAGCACATACCTCAGAGGGCAGAAAAGGCAGTAACAAGAGAGACAGGGAATCATTTGGGTTACGCTTCCAGCATCGCATCTTCTGTTAAAGACCAATCTATTGACAGGCACAGTCTATAAAACTGCTCGCTTCATTGTGTAACAAAAATGCTTGTAAGGTAGTTTTATGTGGACATTTCATGGAGTTTTTGTTCACCACAATTTGCTGTATTTCCTGTTATGTACATATTACCTCGACAGAGACCAACTGCAGTGATGTAGGTAGTTTCCTATTTCCCTAACATTTTGGTTAATACAGATGCAAAGACTGATTTAAATATCTTATATACTTCAAATACTGCAAGCTTTCCATTTATTAAGAAAGTAATAGTTTACTTTCAAATTCACAACATATAACTTCAGCTTTCAATTTAAGAATGAAATAATAAACAAATGTTTATGATGTTCAATGATTTGTGATATCAAAGGACATATAGGCTTTATCCAAATGTACATTTTTTATGTTTCAGTTAAGAGATTGCATT